TCCGGTCAGAGGATCGTCGTTGTGAGTCTCTGAAGGGACCTCAGCTGTGCAAAGGGCCGTTGAATCAGAAACTAAGCGTTGTCTCTCTACTGTTCGGCTGCTAGAAGCATGCTTCTGCATGCCTGGTTCCTGATTCTCGGGTTCTTCGGGTGTCCATATCTTGAAGACCTCGAGGTCGCAGACCAGATGAGCCTTCAAGCAAAGTGAGCATTTCGGGCGTTTTTTATCACACTACAAATCTTGTCAGAATAGGCTTTCGCTTTGGTGTACGTATGTGGCGATAGCGTCGTCACTAATAATGGTCGAGGTAAGACATACTCTGCGCTTCTTCCGAACGCACTGCGCGCACGCACCCCTGGTCCGTTTGCTATGCCTCGTCGGCATGCTTGCGAAGCTGTATCAGACAGGTGACTGCTTCGTTGGAATCTCGATGCGGTTTCAAACGTTAGTGGCTTGACAGTTAAAGCACTGCTACTCGTTTGGTATGTATTGGGGCTACAATGGGTGGAAAAGAAGTTAACGTCTGCCCGGAAGGCTCCGGACAGAGGCCGAACCGATGTGCTTAGGTAACACGCCGGTCCGAAAGCCGTACCGACTAAGGTTTGAAAGACTCAGTACTCGAATATCCTAGTGACCTTGCGCCCTGACCGACATTCACATTTCAAATTGACTATGAAAGCCCTGTTCGGGTATTTTGAGATGGACTGTGTAACATAGTTCTCTAGCACAAAACGAGTTACATAACTTCCACTAAAAGGTAATGTTCCCCACGTCAAGGCACTCGTGATAAAGAAAATAAGTGCATCGAAGTTTCAAGTTCCTTCCTAAAGTAGTGCACAGAGATCAGAAAGCACCCATGGTTTCTTCAGAACCTTCAATCTCGCCGTACCGTGGCAACTCTTCTAACGCTTTCTTTAGAATCTTGAAGCCTTGGAAGAGATCTTCTTCGGGAATAGTCAACGCGACTCCCAAACGAATGCGGCCATTAGGGCCAGGAAAGACAAGTAGACCTTCGCTAGCGCACAGCAATGAAAACCGGCGGGGAGTAATGTTCGCCGGTTTACTTTCGTACTCTGTGTCCAGCAAGATATTCAAGTCCGCGCCGAAAGCTGGACAGTATCGCAGCCAGGGGAAATTCCATGTCGATGTTTCCGCGCTCCATTTGGCATGGATGTCTCGGGCCCGCTGCTGTAGGTTCTCCTCCTCGTAGATATCCAATGCGGTGGTCACACCTGTGACGGCCATCGAAGACATTGAGAACGTGCTAACTGAGTGGTATGGCTTCATTTTGTTCATGACTTCATCGGGGCCAAGCACAAATGAGGTTGGCCAGACACCTCCGGAGATGGACTTGCCCATGGTCACCATATCTGGTTTGTGCTCGGGTCCCATCCAGTCAGAACTCAAGAACCTGCCAGTCTTGCAGGATCCCATCCGGACTTCGTCTGCGATGAAGAGAATATTGTACTGCTTGCATAGCTTCCAGACGCCAATGCAAAAGTCGATCTCTTCCTCCATGGTCCTTGGAGGGGTTAGTAAATTGTTCGATTGTGTCGCAATGTTAGATGCGGCATTGGAAAGATGACTCGCCTGGCAAGTCCATGAAGTGGCTCCATGATGACGGCAGCGATACGCTCATGCATCTGCTCAAATACCTCTGCATAGTCTTCGACATGAAGGTAGCGAAGAACCTTTCCTGTTTGAGGGTTGATGTTGGTCATATTTTTGCTGAATGTCGCGAATTCTGGGTTTCATTTTACTATTTTGACATTTATCAATAGGAGCTTGATGTGGCGGCTTACCTTCCCAGCCGGCCTCCGGCTCCATGAGAGGCCACACTCCAGAAAGCGTACCGTGGTAGTTGTCCGACGTTCCGAGGACAAGAACCTCCCTGGGGTCGATTTTCTTGATGTCGACTCCCCATCCACGCGCCAACTTGCAAGCTGTATCTGTAGCTTCAGAGCCCGACGTCATGGCCAACACCTTGTCATAGCCAAACTTATCACACAACCGTTTGGCTAAACGAGGCCATCCTTCTGCTTGGCCAGCAATGTTGGCGAGTGTTACTGGGTACAAGTTAGCACAGAATGATCAGCGGCATAGATGAAGATCGTTTTCTGACTTTTCTTGGCTGAGTTGACTTGCGCTTCAAGAAGCCTCGGATGACATTGCCCAAGGTTGCTGGCGCTGAATCCACAGATGAAGTCAATCAGCTCGCGCCCATCGGAATCCTTGACCTGCAGTTAGTCTCAAGGACAAAGACATCCCGGGCGGGGTGCATCTTACGCGAACCCGGGAACCTTGCCCAGACACCAGGTACACTGGCAAAGAGTTGATCCCTCCGACGCTGTAAGTCTTGTTTATCTCGTTCAGTGCACGGCCAGATGCCGGCAGGGGGAGGGAAATTTTGGTTGTAGTGATACTCTCTAACATGGCTGCATGTACCTCTCTGCTTGGTTTGCTGGAGCAAGACGATCTTGAGATTGCAAACAAGATTCGTATTTAATATGGTTTTCAGATATCTGCGTGCAAGAATACTCATTTGATGCAGACCTCATTCTACCTCCATAAAAAAAGCCTCAGATTCAAACATCAAAATGTCTCAATCAGGAAGTTTTACCACTAAAATCTCATAGGCCATGTCCCAATATTAGTCCTTCGCTGCAGAGTAGGTAGTGAAATGCAAGAACGCAAATGTAGAAGATCATGTTGCCCCGATCGACGGCCAGAAGTCTACCGACCGGGCATGGTATGCGATAGACTTCGGCGTCGAAGGCAGTCTTGTCAGTGTATCGATTAGAAGCCACTAGGATGACTGCCATTATTCAGCTAGCAAGCCGAAAATATGCGAAACGTTGAAATCCGTCATTATCGTCATGCACGCGGAAAACCTACTCCTTTCGACCAGTACATGATGATCACGCGACCGCAGTAGAGGGATGCAACGAGCCTCGGTGGAAAAGTTGCCTAAAACGGACTGGTCTTGCTCCGGGCTTCTCCGCAAATGTTCCTCAGCACTACAAGTTGCGATTGATGCCAATTGCCCGATCAATGCAGGTTTCTTTTGTGCATGCCTGCCCTCATGAGATCGAGATAAGATACCAGACAGATAGAACATCAGGCAGAGTGTTGTTTAGGTTACAGCTGTAGCCGTCGGTCATGGTGTTTCCCCCTCCATCTGACATCCCGCGGCCTGCGCCGTCAAGTTGTCTAACTTTCGTAAATAATACTAGTATAGCGACAGCAATTTAAATCTGGCAAGCTGCTCAGAGAAAGAGGGTACTGACTAGAAGAAGCCAAGAACCATCATCACATCAAAAACCATCGTGAGCTAAGCTCTACGCCTTTCCCCTTCTCCCCTGATCTTGAATTGTTCCAATCATGCCCTGGAAATTGCTCACTCCGGAGCTCGTCCTGGTCACCCGGAACCAAACCGTACTCCTTGCGTGAATCCTCATCGCCGCTCTATGGATACGAACCCTCCGTCTCCAGGCGACAGCTAGAAACCCTGGCCCTTGGCACTTGAAGTTCACAAGCCTATTTGTCAAACATCGTGAACTGTTCGGTCAGAAAATAGAATGGCTTCATAAGCTACGTCTTCGATATGGACCCGTCGTTCAAATCGCGTGCAACGAGGTCTCGTTCGCAAGCTACACAGCAACAAAGCAAATCTACGGCTCGGGAAGTAAGGACTTTCCAAAAACGGAGCTATACTCTCTCTATCAGCAAGACGGTCACATGTAAGTGCCTTGCCGCGGGTTTGTTTTTGACACTCTTTGTGCTCATGAATCTGACATCTGCAGCAACCTATTCACAGCCCTCGACTCAGATACTGTACTTATGACACTCTCTTCCAAATGTAAGCTCCGTGCTCTATGGCTAACGTAACCGATGCTAGCATAGCACTATACGGCGCCATCTCGCTGGCCGGTACTCCAACTCGTAGGTTCTCCGACCTCAGATCATGGAGATGATAGACGAGCGGGCAGGAGCCTTTGGGGCGGTGTGTGCGGTATCAGATACGGCAGACATCTACGTGAGATACCCGAGGTCACCCGCATGAATGTGGTTTCTGACTGTGTGCGCTGAAATATTAGTTTTACCTGCATGCATACGCTCTCGATTGTGTGACTGGGATGTTGTTTCATCCTCACAGAACAGATTCACTATTCGACGCTGGTGACCAGCAGATGGTCAAGCTGCTATCCTCATGCCAAAACCCGAGAAGGTAGATTCTCATCAAACGCGCTTTAGAGTCAAGAAACTCTTTGGGATGCGTTCTTAACACTAACAAGTCTAGCTCACCACTCTGGGAGGCCTTGTTCCCGAAGCTGGTCGACCTGGAACAAGGAAGCAACTTTTTGCGAAAGTTTGTGCAAGACTCGTTGGAAACCGGAGACCACTCCGACTTCACCTTGGCACGAAAGCTTCTAGAATCGAGCCATGTAAGCAGGCCCCGGGCAGAAGCTGAATGACTCGACCACATTGGCGCTGGGATCGGAACTACAGGTGATACCTCGCGTTGGCTCATTTGGGAACTCTCTCAGCCCAAACACGAGGGAAGAGTCCAAAAACTTCACAACGAGCTTGTCGAAGCAGGGAATGATCGGCCTCTTCACAAACTGCCCTATCTCATCGCTGTTGTTCATGAGGGCTTGCGTTTATTTGCCCCAGGAACGATGTCGCTTCCACGTTACGCGTCAAAACAGAGCGCCTTTATTGATGGATATTTCATCCCCAAGAATTCGATCGTGGCGTGTAACTCCTTTAGCATGCATCGCCTGGATGAGAGTACGTTCCCGGACGCATGCCAATTCGTTTCTGAGAGATGGTTGAATTCAGAAGACAACACTGATCGACAACGTTTATTTCTTGCCTTTGGGCTTGGCCCACGGACTTGCATTGGGCGGCAGTAAGCTTGGATACTTCATCCACGTCGAGTTAGAGGTTCTTGGTCAAGGGGTGAATCGCTAACGCAATGTGCGCTTTGTAATCTTGCTATGGCTGAGATGAGAGCTTGCTTGAATGCAGTCTACTCCAAGTATCGTACTAGACCCTCCCCGGATATGCGGTCGAGTATGGAGATGGATGATCAAGTTCTGACATCCCATCCTCGAGATCTGTGCTGCGTACCTTGGGACCTAGAGGCGTGGTTCTCCAGAGTGCCTTCATCACACGCAGTTGAGGATCACTGGCATCTATTGCTTGGCAATCGGGCTGGCACAGGTAGAGAAGCTTAGAATATCAGCCCTAATTCCGGGTCGTCACTCAACTTCCAGAGATCTTCTCAGCATTGGAAGGGTGGCCGAGTTGGTTATGGCGCCAGGTTAAGGTCAGCTTAACATCTGTTTCCTGGTGGGGCAACCCGCGCGAGTTCGAGTCTCGTCCCTTTCAAGAATATCTTTTTGCATGTCGTGGTGATATTGATATCCATTATCCGATGATTTTTTTGGTGCGATTTGACGAATTCGGTGAACTCCGCCGATGCGTCTTTTTGGGTACGTACCTCGAGAATTGAGTTCCGTCTGCAGAAATTGTTAGTGCAACGGAACGGACCAGTAGATGGGGCAGAAACGGCTCAGAGTGGGTTCTTCGGATACGAGGGACCTGTGAGAACTCTGCCCTGGTGGGGCCGTCACCGATAATGTGCCGTGGACCAACCAGGGACGGTATTTCTGCGTGCACAGGCCACTTTCTCGCCCGATTCATCCCCGATTGTGGGTCCGGGCCTGGATTGATGTTTGCCCCATTCCGGACGTCCTCCGACCGGTCTTCCCAGCTGCTGTCGAGTCGTCTCCACGCAGATGTTACACTCGCTGAAATTGTTGGAACGCACCATCATTTCATGAAGATTGCGCTGCTGCAGCCTTAGCTTCGGGGGGCAACGGGGGACCCAAGCGACCCAAGGTCCTCAAAATACAGGGGCGATGAATGCTGCAGGCATGTGCGCACTGCGCAGCGCTGCCTAGCGCTGTAGTCCACTGTCCACTGGTCCAGAGGTGCAATGTACCGAGGTGAAACGCGGTATTTTGCACTGAATACTGGGACTGACGAAGACATCAAGCCAAAGAGATATGTCTGTCAGAGCGGCAGAGCAATTGTTGAGACCCGACAGTTGTTGGTTACTGGTGGTCCGGTTCTTGGCCAATCGTTGCCGACCGTTGCAAGTACGCAGTACGCAACTTTGTGGATTCGAGCCTCTTGGACGACCTGGTCTTCTTCACGTGCGGACTTGCTCTGCTCCGCAATGCCTTGTCTTGCGTCGTATCATCCTACTGCTGCGCGTCCCAATTCCCTCTCGTAATCGTCAACTACACTAGACCATATGGGTTCCTGGGAACTGTAAGCAACAGTTGGCCATGCGCAGCGCATCTGAGCGTATCTTGTCTCGTAAGATCACAGCTGTGCCGTTTGCTGCCCATCGCGATCGGCCCAGAAATTGGACGTCGGATGCTTTTCGCAGACACCGACCACGTGAGCGGTGGAAGCAGTATCGTCTCCGATCAAGGTGCTCGACGGATGCGCATGCCGCCCAGATAAGAGTACGGCTTGCGAGTGTCAACCTCCAAATGGTGTCGTATCTTTGGGTTGTTTCCGAAGGTCTGGCCGCAGACTTGTTTCGTAAAGCTAACAGCGTCTTATCTCGGGCGATAGGCGATTGCTGTTTTCGAACGGCGACCCAGGCAACCAGGAGCGACAAGGGGTTCAAGGGGATTCCTCGGCGTCCACAATTCCATCCTTGAGCCTTGAGATAAGCAACCACAGCAGTCTGGGGTTTCGGTAGGTCCCCCACGCAGTGATGGAGGAGGCCCCTTTCCGCCCCTACATCGAGTGGGCTTCTTGATGGCCTCGGTCAGCAAAATCCCCGTAACGTATCAGTTCCGATAGTCGTACATTGCGCGGATGAGCAGGATGTCTTTCCCCGAGTCCCTGGTCTGAATGGTAAGCTACGCCGTATGCCTTACCGAGGCGGGTGGTGTTTGGCGGCTATAGTCCTATCTTCGAGGCGCGCTGGCGCGGTCTGCGACAAGTTGACATTTTGGTCAGGAGACACTTGTGGCGTTATCAAATCGGTTTCCCGGCGTGTAGGCCGCCCCGTGTTTGTAAATGCCGGGATAGCCATTGGTCTCGCTCAGTCTATACCGGCTGAGTTTCCTGGATTTGGGAAGACGTCGCGTGATCTGCGTAGGATCGATATTCCCGAGGGCTAGAAGTCGGTAGTTGGAGATGTGTTCAGGGCTAAACGTCGTCGTCACTCCTGTCAGGGCGGCCTGCTTGTCGGCCGCCTTCGTTCTTGCAAGTACCTCGCTAACAGGGTACAGAGTCGGTAGAGTCGGAACTGATGTTTCTCTGCCTATCAGTACCTTAGTCCATGGTGTATCGATGCCCTTGTGCCGTCCAGCACTCTGTATCAAGGATCTGTTCCGATGAGATGTTGGTTGCTTCGTCTACTCCGTACAGAGCCAAGTGAGCTTCCCCGGCTCAGCGTTTATTGTCTCGCTGGGCGACATTACTCTGTGAATTAATCGCACGGGTGGTGTAACCGGTATAGAGTATAGCTTATCCCTACATACATAGGAGATGTGCCTTGGTCCCGGTCGATGGCAAGGGATAAGAATCAAGGATTGATGCAGCCGTAGTTCGCATCCTGCAGTCGAGCTAACATGGCCATGTCTAGAGCAAGGAGTAAGGATCTTCGTCAATGGAAAATGGGAGACTTTGGCGATGGCCCAGGAAAGATGGAGGCGTCAGAGAGATGCGGTTGCCGCAAGGCTGGAGAGGATCCAAGGCGTCGGTGGAGGAGGAAGGCACGGGGTGGGTCTGGTCACTGTCAGCCTTGAGGAAGCCACGATGTGAGGCAGGTGCGACGACGGAACCTGCGCACCTTCCGTTTGTTCTCCAAGATATTGCAGGTGGAAGGAAGGGAAGGTGCGATACCCCCCTTCTTGAGATGCACCTTCCCGCCTACTCTATCTGGACGCAACCACGTGCTTCTGATCTGACGACATCGTGCCGCATTTCTCAGGCCCGCGGTGGATGTTTCCGTAAGGTACAGACGCGAGGTTCACTCCACTCAACTTCATGTCAAAATACGCCAGCGAACGTGTTTCTCTTGGTCTTCACCTCCACGTCGCATCCCGCTCTCATCGACAGCTGCCGTGGTCTTGGCGCCTCTAAACAACCTTCCTCACTCGAAGACCTACAGCGGGGTTCCCTATTAGACGCTCTCCCGTCCTGGACTACTCCCGACTCCCCCATGTACCTTGCCTTGCCCTCTCGGCTCCCGCATGGCTATCTACATACTGTTGCACTGCACTGCAACGGAGAATCTAGACGCAGATCTCTTCCAGGGCAAATGTCGGTTCATGGATGCTGTTGGTCACCGCCATGTGATGCCCTCGCTAATTCGTTTCCAGCTGCGGCTCAGCGGCACCTAAATGTTTTGACGTACGGGAACGAAGGATGAGGAGGAACCGTTCTCGAGACCCTGCGCGCGTGTCTGCGGGCGTTCGATCACCCTTACCAAAGTCACTGACCAGGTACACCTACCTGTACGCTGGCATCCTTATTCTGCATACGAGGTCTCAAATTCAACGTCACTTCGTCTAAATGGCTTCTAGTGGTGGTTGTATCGGGCTCTCCGGAAAGGCAATCGAACCTTTCACTTTGCCCGATTCATACGCTTTCTTTCGGGACTCCGCCAAGCAATTTGTCGGTCTGCACTCGGTGTGTTAAATCTCGCTCTCGCCATCCCCACTTCACCAGCGACCGTCATCGCGCGCGCCACACCCGCTTCCATCAAAAACGAGGCGTTGCGCATTTTGCTGCCCTCGCTGGGCCTCATTGGAAAGCCATTGAGCTGATCATGATGCAAGGCTATCGATTTGTTCCATCATGCCATCTCAGCCTTTCCCCGGATTCGATACGTATATACGTATCGTGAGTGTGCCCCTCCTGTTCAGCCTGGCAGTGGACAGGGTCTCCAGGGTCTAAGGGTACCAATTGCGCCATCAGCGAGGCTTCAGGCTTCAGCGCAAGTGGACGACCCAGCATGGCGGGACAAACGTCGACGTCCTTGTCGCGTGTGCTGCGATCGGGTGTCATCCCCCGGACTGGCCTGGCTTCCCTCCACCAAATAGCCGGGTTTGGCGCTGAGCCGGCTCGGTAGGTGCTGAGGGAGAAATTTCTTGGCCTGACGAATCGTCTGTCTTTCCCATCAGGGAATCGAACGCTTTCCTCGCATCCCGACGACAGACATGAATGGTAGACTGACAGCCACCGACGATTGTCACCGACAAGTATCTCACCCGCGTTAAGCCGGCGCAGAGATACTCTTACGTACGACTCGGCTTGGCTCTAACTTGGTGCGGCAGGTGGGCGGATCATCACTGGAGTACCCTCTGTGACATCAGCACCTATTCAGGGCCTCCTCAGAGCCACTTCAGAACCACTTCCCACGGGAGCTTGCAGGCCTCACGATCCTAGTGGGCTTGGTTGTATCAGGGAGTTATTCAAGGTGTGCCCCCCGACCCTGTGTTGGCGCGCAGAGGCAGCCTTGGGATTCCCTGTGCAGAACGGGGGGAGCCCCTGTCTCTCCCCCCATCTGCTCCAGTCTCCTCCATTTTCCTCCATTTCTCTCCATCCAAGCGCGTCCACTTGGCTCACTTTTCAAACGCTCACTCGCTCGCTTTGCGACCGCCAACCGTGTCGTCCTCCACCGTCGTCGGGATCAAGACGGCAAGACGGAAGATTGAGAGACTCCACGACTCGCACCGGGCGAACCAACGGTCTGCATTTGCGTGGAGAGCATGCGGCGCTAGTCGGGCAACTGGGACCACAGCACTACGTCATTACGCATTATGTGCATTGAGCAGGTCGAGGATGAGGACTGATGGAGAAATGGATCATTTCTTTGCTGTCTCAGAGGTTGACGATTTTTTTGTGCTGCCGCTGCCGCTGCCTCTAGGCACTCGGTCCCTGATTGTTTCCCCTCGACACGACGAGGATTATTAGACGTGGAGCGCAAGCCGCAACCACAAAGCGTAACAACGTGGAACGTTGGAGCCTCATCCGACGCCTCGCGGCTTCACGGCTCCTCGGGGTCATCCCTTTCGGCGCCGACGGGGGAGGGGAAAAGAGGAGAGTTTTTGAGGAGAAACCTGGAAGAGAGCGTTGACAAGGTCTCAATTCTCAAAGTACCTACACATTTCCAACAAGTACGGAGTACGGATGGCTTGAT